GGCTTTGCAAATCTTGTGATATATTTGCTCCTCTGTTTGACTCATGGAAGATCTTTTTCAAATGATATCCATCCACTGCTGCCAAACACAGCTTTCTTTCCTAAAATTTAAACAGATTTTTCCCTGTCTCTTTAGTGTTGTGACTATACATCTTAGAATTAAGCATCACATTTTTTTTTACTACTGTTACTAATCAGCTGGGATGAAATACACATACTTCAGCTACTAAATGTCACTAACATAAATCGCTAACAAATAATATATATATAAATTTGAGTCATTGGTCATATGAGATATGTGTCAGAATGTATTTGAGCATTAGCAATGATATAACAAATCAATATCCTAATCAAACCCGCGTCTCTGGATTCTTAGGGTCAAATAAAAATGTTTAGAGCCAAGGATTCAAATCTTGCAGAGGAGGGTCGTATCAATTTAACAAATTACGATGTGAAATATAAAATAATCATTATTGTGGTTTTTGTTCACTTGAAATTTTATTTTGTCGCAAAGTGCAGGTTTCTGTTCCATTAAAAATTTTCATAGCATTCTTGTAAATCACCTTATTTTTGTGTGGATTTAAATTGAGGACACAGGTGTAAGTAGAAACTCCAAAATGCAAGTTTTCATTAAAAGAGACAAAATGATGTTGAAAGGCATTCATTCATCATTCAGGACCCTTATTGTCTCCATTATCGTCTGGTGCCACCTTTGTATTCATTTTGGTGAAGTTATTCTTTTTTAAGATAAACAAGTTACAGCTTATGTTTGGTTTTGTTTTGTGTTGCAGGGATTAGTCAGGCCTAGTTTTGTGTTATTGATTTTATTTGTTAGGCACGACCACCTCGTCCTTTCCTCTCCCACATTTTGAAACCTTTGTTATGTTTGTAAGTATTCAGATGAGCTGAAAATAAATCACCCTCAATTTCACCTCTACTCTGACACAGAGCACACATTATTTCATTGTTTATTTACCGGTATTTGTGCATGTGTGACATTCATGGCCCCTTGACAGTAATTGTTATTACCTGCTGTTAACAGTGGAAATGTGGAGAGGGGGTGATATAATTAACCCGATAGAATTACTGTAAGTTTGATGATTATTGCAAAAGAAGCTGTAGCCTGCCTGCTTACTACATAGGCTAAAGTGACTGGAAATGAAAAGACATCAGTACTGTAATTCAAGGCTACAGGAATACGTTAGTGCAATAATAATAATGACAACAACAATAATAATCATAATCATAATAACTCAAGAGTCCAAAATTACATTGTGTACATTGTGTACATTTTCATAAAAACCAAACAGCTAAAAAATAAATTCATAATTAATGTAAACCAAGATAATAATGGGTAAAGGTTACACGACCTAGGGATTTGAAGACATCATTAACTTAAACAAACTGGGTCATATCCCCCCAGAGCTGTTGCTTAGAAAACTACAGTATTTTTATGTAGTAAATATTATTCATACAGATTATCATTTAAATATAATCCTCAAAAATAGACTTTGCTCTTTTAAGGTAAAAATGAAGGGGATACATTAGTTCACTGCTGTACATTATAAAATCAAGTTTGAGGCACTTGAGGCCACGCCCAATTCACTGACGTCAGAATGGGTACTGTCCATCGGCGTTTCAAGGGCAAAACTACAGAAGGATGAGAAAGAGCCAAGCACTTTTGGCTGCATCGTAATATAATCAAAACTATGGTTCCACCCCCTGTTTGCTGCACCACATGATTGCCACGGAAGCTGCTTTTCTGTACATATAGCCAGAGAAGCTGCACCGTGTCTCAGGTTGCTGACAGCTGACAATTGAAGACCACCGTGTTTTGAACATTCTGAAGAAGCGCTTCCACGTTCAGCACCGGCTGACTGACTTTTAAGTCATCATGGCAGATTCCAGCCTCAACAACCTGACATCGCTTGCCCGGGCTCTGTCACAACCTAAACTATATTTGTCAGAAGTGGATGACAACTCTACGCGAAATGCTCAGCCTCAACAGTGCCGAAGGAAAAAGTTATCGAGCTGCAATTCGATCGAGCGCATTGAGTCGGCGACTCGACACACCGGCGAGGCGCGAGTCCTGGTCATCAACACCGGAGGAACCATCGGGATGACAATTCATGATAACGGTAACTGTGGCTAAGTGAAGTAATTGCACTGTTATTTGTCTGTCCTGTGTAGCCAGCGGCAGCTGACGTGTGGCAGTTAGCTAGCACAGCACGCAGCTTGCTGCTAGCAGGCTGGGTGCATGTTGTTGCCTCATGTTGCTGTGAGCAGGAGGCTTGGAGTAAAGCTTTGCGTGACATCAACATACCAGTACATCCTAAAATAGTCCGGCAAAGAGCTTAGTTACACAGCTGAAGCTAGCTTACAACAGTTAGCCTTACACATGTACAAACTGTCTTCCTGGTCTTCAGAGACAAAGTGTATTGACTATTAATTAAGTGATTATCATAACATTTAGCTTAACAGTTCTTTGCGATTGCTTACACACTTATTTCAGTGTTGATGTACTGAAAGGTACAGTCTAGAAAGTTGAGGACCTGTTCTCAATGTCCATATTATGGATGCTACCGTGTCGCGACTGAGGTTGGTCTGGACCAATTCTCTGTGCAACGCCCTGCCTTATTTAC